GATAGATGGAAAGAAAATGGGAGAAAGAGGAAGGAAGGGAGAAAGAAAGGGAAAGAAAAGAAAGAAGTGAAGGAAGGAATGAAGGAAATACTATGGCTGTAAGTCTCTTTACTTAACTGTACTCAAATTCCTTTTCTGTAAAATAAGATGGTTGAAGTAGATGATCTCTAAGTCTCATTCCAACATTCTGTATAGTCTGGGTTCTTATATATTTTGTTCTAAAGTCTCTTCCAGCTCTAATATTCTGTGTTTATTCGAATGTTGTGTATTCTAAGACTCCAGCTGTAATTGTCCATGTTAAAATATTCTAATTTACAAGATCACTTTTCAGCTCTAACACTGTGTTCTAAATTCCTTTCTAGCACTAACATTCTATGAGCATATAATTTCATATCATGAGTCCTCTTTACATTTTCTTGGGTGACAAAACTAATTTAATACCCTTGTCCCTCATTTCTTGTAAGGATGTGTTTTTATAAGGTTTCTTTTTTTCTCTCTTTTTCTCCCTCCTTCTCCCTTCCTTTCCTCCATTTTTCCTTCTTTCCTACCTTCCTTTCTTACCTTTCTTTCTTCTTTTCTTCCTTTTTCCTTTTTTCTTCCTTTCCTGCCATCTTTATTCCTTCTTTCTTCCCTTTCTTCTTTTTTTTCTTCTTTCCTTTCTTCCTTTATTTCTAGATAAGGGAAAACTTTCAGAGTAAACAGAGTTTCTCTTCCTAAAGGGTGCTCACTCTTAGATTACTTAATTCTAATTACCTATTAGCAAGACAATACTCTTTGTACAATTAGATAAGATAATTGATTCTAAAGGGGAAGAAAGTGCTAATTTAGCTATATTTATCTAAGGTGTCTAAGTTCCAGACAATTGTCCAATTACTTGTGCAGTTGCCAATGCAGAGATCAAAATGGTGAGACAGTAAAAGGAGAGGTGAGTTAATTCATCCTTAAAAATACCTGGTATAGGATCATAGATCATAGATTGAGAATTGAAATGGACTTTTGAGGTCATGTAGTCCATTGGCACCCAGAGGGATTAATTGTCTGACTTGCCCAAGGTTACCCTGATAGATAAATGGCAAAGATTTAGACCAATCATAAAGTTATAAGTTTAAAGCTAAAAGAGACCTTACCATTCATCTTGTCTAACCTCCCTCATTTTACACATAAAGGAACTGAGAACCAGAAGGGTCAAGTGATTTGTCCTATGCAATAAGTAGCAGTGTCAGAATTTGAACCCAGGTCTTCAGGGTCCAAAGCTTGGGTTCTTTTTTTTTTTTTTAACTGTGCTTTACTGCCTCTACTTACATGCCTCAGGTAAGACACTCCCAAGCCAATAGAAAAGCATGTCTATTTCACCATCAGTGTAACTTCAATTTACCACCCATGTAATTTGCTCACTTGAAAAAATGAAAATGGGTCAATTTAGGATGCTTACTCCCAAGTGTGAATATCTTCAGCCTTTGGATCAGAAAGAAGAAATAGTAATACTTAGCATTTTATGGTTACAAAGTACTTTGCGTATTTTACCTAATTTGGTCCTCATAGTTGACAAAGCAGTTTATTCAAAACATCCAAATGTAGTAAATAGGTTCAAATATAATTATCTTTGTTTCATAAGATTAAGGAAACAGAAGCCCAGAGAGTTGAAATGACTTGCCCCTGTAGCTACATGGTGCAGTAAGAAGACTGCTGGACTTAACACTTAGGAAGACCTAGGTTCAGATCCCTCCTCTGACACTTATTAGCTTTGTGACCATGGGCCTCAGTTTCCTCTTCTATAAAATGGGAATAAAAATATCTCCAGTATCTCTTTCACAGGATTATAGTAAAACTCGTGTGAGATATACTTTATGCTGAATAATTTTAAAACTTTAAAGTACTATAAAAATGACCGCTATTATTATCACTACAAGGCTCATGGTAGTTTCATTTACTGGGGGCCGCCATTTTAGAAAACTCTTTCCAGGAAAAAGTTATACTTGACTGTTCTCTGAAAGCTCGGGCAGACTTGGACTGGGTCAGAGCATGGCAATGTAGCCTTAGGTATGGCTGGAAGGTCAGCAGAATCAGAAAATCATAGAACTCAGAGCTAGAACCGACCTCAATGGTTGCCTAGCCCAATTTCTATCCACATCTTGAATTCTGTCAGCAGTTTCCCTGAGATGTGGTCAGTCACTGAGCTTTTGCTTTAAGACCTCCAGGGATAATGAGGGGGAGAGGGGAGGGAGGAAGAGAATTTGAAACTCAAAATTTGAAAAAAGAATGTTAAAATTGTTTTTACATGTAATTGGGAAAAATAAAATAACACATTTTTTAAAAAGACCTCCAGAGATGTAGAGCTGACAAGTCCGCAGAGTTATCCCATGCCACTCTGGGGACAGATCTGGTTGGTAGGATGCTGAGTCTAATGTCCATCTGAAATTGTAGTTGCCTCCTTGCTTCCCTGTGGTCCATCTTTCCTTAGCCCCCCCTCACCATTTGTCCTATTCCTGCCTTCAAACTGATTAAAATAAGTCTGATTCCCCTCCCCCCTGCCTTGTATTTATCCAAGTGCTTAGCACAGTGCCTGGTACCTAGTAAGCTTAGAATAAATATATAATAATGAATATATAATAACAGAACAAATGCTTATCTTCTTTCCATTCTCATTGTGCTTGCCCAGTGATAGGACTTCAGCCATCAATTTCATTTAGAAATTTGGATTTTATAGAAGGCCCGTCAGGATGGTTGGGCTTTAGGAAGAAGGTAGCGCTCTCCAACTGGAGAACAGCAGACTCGAGAACTGTGGGAATCATCAAAGGAGCTAAAGATGAAGTATTTCTATCAGCAGAGATGGGGTTGAGGGGCGTAGCGATGTCGTGAAGCCAGGCATTTTCCTTTGTTGTAGTCTCAGAAGCAGGTCCTCTTCGCATCAGCCCAGGCTCTCGCCAGACATGTGTTTACTTTTTCCATGCACTGTTGTCTGCTTTGGTCTAATTGCCCTCACATCATTTCTTGGAACAAGCTTCCTACGACAGGTGACTTTGAGTGAGTTGCGCAAGTCACAATGAGTTCAGGCCTGGGATCATGCAAATTCAATCAGCATTCCATCCTCTATGTATCCCAGTGAGGGGTCCTTAACCTGATTAGCAGGAAATCCAAAATTCTCCTGGATGATGCATGTGGTCTTTGCTCTGTGCTTATCTCATCTGCACTCTCCACCCTTAACTGCCTAGCCCACCAATCCCCTCCTGAGACAATAACAAAATAATGATGATATCTCATATTTATATAGTGCTTTGATGTCCCCACCTGAGACAGCTAGTTCAAGGATTATTATTCCCCAATGTAATAATAATAGCCAGTAATTATATAGCATGTAAAGGTTGCAATGTGCTTGACACCTATTACTTCATTTGATCCTCACAAACAACCCCGGGAAGGAGGTGCTATTCTTATCCCCACTTTACAGATGAGGAAACTGAGGCAGGCAGAAGAGAAATGACTTGCCTGGGGTCACCTAGCTAGTCAATGTCTGAGGCAGGATTTGAACTGAGGTCTTCCTGATTCAACAGCCCAATGCTTTGGTCATTGTACCAATTTTATAGATGAGCAGACTGAGGTTTAAAGTGGTTACATTGGCTTATCCATGGTCACACAATTAGGAGGTGTTAGAATTGAGATTGAAATCCAGGTCTCTTCACTATGATCCCCTTCACAAATACTGACACACTTCATAAAATGTCTGCAACCAAACAAAGCTATAAGAAGACCTGATTCTGGTAACTCTAACATTTTTTTTTATTCTTTAAAGAAACTAGTTTGCAAGAGGACCTCCTGAATATCCATATCCTCTAGGGACATGCACTATCTTAGACTATATTGCCATGGGATTGCAAGGTAGCCAAGGAGCTACACAGGGGTGGAGAACCTACAACCTCGAGGCCACTTGTGACCTTCTAGGTCTTTGGGTGTGGCCTTTTTACTGAGTCCAAATTTTACAGAACAAATACATTTATTAAGGGAATTTGTTCTGTGAAGTTTGGATTCAGTCAAAGGGCTGCACTTGAGGACATAGAAGGCCACATGTGGCTTCGAGGCCACAGGTTCCCCACCCCTTAGCTAGACATTTTAATGGTAGCCCTAATTAAAGCTCTGAAATTCTCCTCTGGTGCTTCATTGTGTTTTGGAATTGACCTTGGATTCACTTACCTGGCTAGTCCTTCCCATCAATCAGTAACCATTTATTAAGTGCCTACACTGTTTCTGGCATTGTGCTAAGCACCAGAGATACAAAAAGAGGCAAAAGATACCCCCTTCCCTCAAGGAGCTTACAATCTGATGAGAGAGACAAAAAGCAAACAAATACAAACAAAGCCAGCTATGTACAGAATAATTAGGAAATAATCATCAGAGGAAAAGCGCTAGAATTAAAAGGTGTTAGAGAAGACTTTCTGTGGAAGATGGGATTTTAGTTGTGATTTACAGGAAGCCAGTAGGCCGAGATGAGAAGGAACAGCCTTCCAGGCATGGGAGAATGCCCAGAGCCAAGAGATGGAGTGTCCTGCCCACGGAACAACCAGGAGGCCAGTGTCACTGGATCGAAGAGTACGTGTTGGGGTATAACGTATAAGAAGTCTGGAAAGGCAGGAGGGGGCTTCCGAGATGGAAAATCTTTGAGTCCAGGCCAAACAAAGGACTGCACGTCTGTCATCTGAGAACCAGGCTAGCTCTGTTGGGAGAGGCTTCATCCCCAGGTTACTCGCAGGCTGATGGGTTTGTCAAGCACAGCAACTCTTGAAACACCTCTCCTAAGTCACAGAGGGGTTGAGATGTGCACCGGTGGAAAGAGAGACCGCGCCATTGAAATGACTAGTTCTTGAAGTGGGTAAAGCAGTGGGCCATGAGTCCCTGAAGCCTCAACTTTCCCCTAGTTCCTGTACTCCCCCCTAATCCCTTTGGGTTTGGAAATTCCCTTTCCCCTTCTCACAGAAAAAGATGACTTTTCTCATTGCTCACCACAGCCATGCACCTGTTTGGCCTAAACTGGCACCTGCAGCCGCTGGAAGGGCAGATGTATGAGATGACGGAGAACACAGCCAGCAGTTGGCCTGTGCCAACAGACGTCTCCCTGTATCCCTCAGGGGGCACGGGGTTAGAGTTACCTGACAGGAAAGGCAAAGAAGCCGGAGAAGGTAGGGTTGGTGTGTTGTCCGTGTTGTGAGTCCTCTATGTCTGCCTGTGAACTGAAGAGACATTCACTCACGTGCCGCCATGTTCCCAACATGGCTCTATGCTTTTGGGTGCTTCTCCATTCTTCCATGCTCAGTGCTGGCTTCCCACCACTACGACTTCACCTGTGTCTCTTCATTCTGATTACATGTCGCTATCTGAGCTAATTTGGGTGGGATGGATGGTGGAGATTGGCTGTCATGGTACAGAGCTATACCCCATCTAAACTCCAGAGAGAAGCACCTTGGTGCTTTGCTATAAAACCCTGAACACTTAATTTGAAGGAAACCAGACAAGAAATGGAATGGGGATGGAGAGATTCTCAGGGTCAGAAGCTGGTGCTGAATATCTGACTTTGACACTTTAGAGCAGAAAACCTCCTAAGACTGGAATGGCCTAGCCTTGGGCCTTCTTGGTACACTGAAGGCACCAGATACTTTTCCATAAGACCAGAGACATGGAGAAGTGGAGGAGTCCCAGGTACCACACTTGTCTGGTTATTACTTTGGGACAGGTGGGCATAAATCAACCTCTGAATGCCATAGCCTGCTTCACTACTGGAGTCTGTCACTCATCTCAGCTGCCATCATGCTCATGCCAGGCTCCAAATGTGTCTCCTTGTCTTTGTCTTTGCTTTCCCCTCAGGGAATGCCAAGGGAACATTGTCCTTGCCCCATCCTGATCATTTACCTGGTTTCTTTTCACATCATCAGTCAGTGGGTATGCATGCTGGGTGCCCATATGTTTGTTCATAACCTCCGATGCCAATTTGTCTTTTGATCTCTCATTGTACCAAAGTTAACTTGAAACAACAGACATCCCACAGGAGCCAGAGCAGAAAGAGAGGGTCAAACACTCTGCAGGTTCTCTGAGGTACTAAGAATTCAATAGCTCCCTATATATACTCAAAACCCTGCTTTGTAAGGACTGGCTCTCAAATCATTCAAGATAACCCTGTCAGCCATAGTTAGTAACAGTTAATAATGGAGTGATAATATGTTTAGTCAACTGTCTCATCAAAATTTTTTCATAGTACAATTGTCTCAGATCCTATCTTTAAGTGATTAATACATTTTAATTGAATTATTATTCAATCAAACATCAGTTAAGTTCCTACTATGTACCAGGAACTGTGCCAGATTCTGAATTGGAAAATAATGCCCACCCAGACCCATTAGAACAGGGGGTCCTTAGCCTTTATTTTTGCTGTAGACCCTTGTGGCGGTCTGATGAAGCCTATGGATCCCATCTTAGAATGATGTTTTTAAATAATTGAAAGAAATGCTAGAGGTTAGTGGCAATAGAGATGTGATTTTTTTGCCCCATACAAGTTCACATTTCCACTGAGATCTCTCCACGTTTCCTGGACTCCAGGTTAACAGCCTCAGCATTAAAGGATCTGATTCCATTGCTTCAAACCCACCAATGGTCTCTCATGTAAGGATAGGCCCAACAAAGGGTGTAGACCATTTTTTTGACTGTAGTAGCTCCTGATTGTCTGTTGAAGTAGAAAGGAGCCTCCGTCGGAGTCAATGGTGGCAGGCCCCACCTGACGTCCCAGGCCCTTGAACTATTTGCAGATCTAGTAAAGGCAGTGGGTTTAAGGTATTAACCCTCAAGAGCGTGGTCAAGAGCCTCATTGAGCAAAGTTTATTTTTTCCCTCTGTGATCTCTATCATCCAGTCGTTTAACAGAAGTAGAGGAGACTAAGCTATCTACGATCTCCCCCTCTAATGAAATTATAGTTTGTGGGTTGTGGGTTTTGCTTTGTTTTTTCCTAAGGAGAAGGAGGTGCAGATAAAACAAGGAAAAAATGTACCAGCTTACTGGGTTACTTTAATTGGAGTACTTTTGCTTAAAGGGATTAGCTATCATTACTAATGCAAATAGAAATCCTGTTTAGAAATCCTGCTAAAATCTGGTCAGCATCAACTGTGATTTACTCCACTCAATAAAAGCAGGTACTGAGCTTTCTCTCTCTGTCATTCTTAATTGGTTTGTAACATATATGGGGTCTCTGGTCAAGTCGGGGCCTGCCTTTAATTCTGTGAGCATTCTGAATCCCGTGGCTCCTGAAGCACTGGGGGCTTCAGACTCTCCCATGATGCTGCTTTTCCAATTCATTTCAGAGGGCATCAGAAAAAAAAGCCCTCTGCTTACATAGAAAGTCAGTGCCAACTCTGAACACTTTTGCAGTGGGGAGAGAAACAGCTGGGTCTAGTGCGGAGAGTGGTGACCTTACAGTGAGGAGGCTTGGGTTTGAGACCCAGCATAAGCTACAGTCCTCTTCTGTACCTGGATTAGTGATTTCTGTACTATGATATATGTAGCACTTGAAGATTTGCAAAGCACTTTACCAATATTACCTAATTTGATCTTCAAAATAATCATGGGAGCTAGGTGTTATTAACAACAACAACAACTATGATGATGATAACTAACCTTTATATAGCTCTTACTATGTGCCAGGCAGTGTGCCAAGCCATTTGCAATTATTACCTCATTGATCCTCCCAACAACCCTGGGAAATGTGTTATTATCCCCATTTTACAGTTGGGGAAACTGAGAGGTGAAGTGACTTGTCCAGGGTCACACAGCTAGTAAGAGATTAGAGTTGAATTTAGGTCTTCCTGAAGGCCCGGCATGCTCTTTTCACAGTCCCACCTGGCTCTCTGGGAGTCACCATGAGTACAGGGGAAAGAGCCCTTACTCTGGAGTCAGAAGACCTGAGTTCTCTCTCTCTCTCACTGTCTCTCTCTCTCTGTCTCTCTGTTTCTCTCTCTCTCACTGTCTCTGTCTCTCTCTCACTGTCTCTGTCTCTTTCTCTGTCTCTGTCTCTCACTCTCACTGTCTCTGTCTCTGTCTCTCTTTCACTCTCACTGTCTCTGACTCTGTCTCTCTCCCTCTCTCTCTCACACACACTTATTATCTGTGTGACCTTAGGCAAGTCACCTGGCTAGTAAGACAATGGTCTGCTAGGTCTCTCCCAGCTTTGGACCCAAGAGCCTGGGATCCTTTGTTCATCGCAGGATGATTCTGACAAAATCGAGTCATAGACCTTGCTTAACGCACTATGTAAATGTGGGTTATTAAATTATTATTAACTGTGAGGGGCTTGGAAAAAAGAGCCATTATTACTGTTTAGGGTGTTGAACATTCCAAGTGCAATTAGGGAAATCCACTTGAGTCCAATAAAATTCAGAGCAGCCTCCCTCCCCCCAAATAATGAATGCAGATGCTGAATTTTTTCAGGGGGAAAAATATATACCTGTTTAAAATCCTCCTTCCTTAGAATCATGTAGGTATTTATGATTTATATATTGTTGTTGCTGAGAACAGTTTATGATTTATATATTGTAAGTATATATAAACGCTTGTGTGTGTGTGTGTGTGTGTGTGTGTGTGTCTGTTGTTTTCCCTGATAGAATGTAAGCCCCTTGAGGGCAGGCACTCTTTCCTTTTTAATCTTGAATCTTCAGCATAGTGCCTGGGGATGAATAGATACTAAATACAACAATGCTTCCTGATAGGTCAAATCACAGAATTATAAAATTGGAAAGAATCTGGAAGCCATTTGGTCCAATTCTGTGCATATATATTTTAATAATATTAACATCTTACATTTCTATCATGCTTTAAGGTTTTCAAAGGGCTTTTCTCACTGTAATTCGGTGAAGTGAGTAGGGCAGATATTATCCCCATTTGACAGAAGAAGAAACTGAGACCCAGAAAGGTTAGGTGACCTTCAAACAGTCACACAACTCAAAGTGTTAGAGCCAAGACTCCAAGTTACGTGTGTGTATATGTACGCACATACAGATATATCTGTGCATGTGTATGTATATATACACATGTATATATGAATGTGTATGCAATAGTGATGGTGATGATGATCTCCAAAGTTATGGCTCACAAAATACATTCATCACAAGAACTGTGAGGGATGCGGAGAACAAAGGGTATTGTTGCCATCTTTAAATGAAGTAAGTAATTGACACTCAGAAGTGGGGAGTGTTTTGGCCAAGGTCACGCTGCCGGCACAGAGCAGATCAGGCCCTCTAACCTAGATCTTCCGATGTTCCAGCTCAGTGGGTGTTTCTGTGCCTCCCCCCTTCGTGTATGTGCATGACACCCACACACAGACCTCTACCCAGTATTTTTACATGAATGTAGTCTCTTTTATGGGAATAACATAAAAATGCATGTCAGACTGGGATTTTGAAAGTGGACATAGCCATCTCTGGGTAGTTCTGGGCTCCAGACCCAAAAGCCTTCCCTAGTAAATCTGGGTCAGCTTATGCTATTCATTAATAGTGGGAGAGGGACCCCAGACCTTAAGCAAACAAGCATTCTGCTGATTGAATCCTATGGGCAGAGATAGCTTTTTTCTTCTTCTGTAATGAAAGTAAAATTGTCCATCAGTGCTGCATTCCCTCCTCCCTGCCAGAATGGAGCCATTTATTTTGATAACCAAATAAATTTCAGACAGTCGCTAAGGAGACTAAAGTATTGTAAGTATAAGTTAATGCATTGGAAGCAAAAATAACACATAAACTACAAAATGGAACTAGAATAGGAACTTGGCATCTCAGTGGTGCTGCTGCCTCAGTGGAATTACCAAATGTTCCAGAAAATAGAACACCCAGGCCAGGACTCAATCCCCGATTTTCTGACTGGTGTCCAGTGCTCTTTTTACCATGCCATAGTAATCTAACCTAATCTGTCCTTCTCCTCCTACCAGGGATCTTAGAGTCCAAAAGCCTTCATTTTACAGATGAGGAAACTGAGGCCTATAGAGGTGATATGACTCACCCAGGGTGACACAGCTAATAAATATCTGAGGTGGGATTTGAACTCACTTCTTCTGGACTCTGAATCAGGCCCTCTCAGACTCCATGGTCTCCCCCTCAGGGCACTCCTGGAAAGAAGAAGAAATGTGAAAGTGGTAAAGGAAGGATTTCAA